GAGTCGGGTATAATGGAGCATAAAGGCGTTTTAGCGGCGTTGCGCAAGATATCCTTTCTAATATAGACTGGGGAGGCATGACAAGGCAAGGCGCTCTGGTTTAAAGGAGCGTTTTGATCTTGGGCTTTGGAGAGGGTGTCTATATTTGAGATACCACCTGACGGACGCATCGCATTTGTTTGGACCATACGCTGCTTACATGGCATATAGTATTATATAATGAGCTAATAAGATATATAATTTTAAAACGTATGATTTGAATGCTTTGTGGTGAACAATGACATAAAAATGCAATGCTTAAGGGTGAATTAAGCAGGTGGCTCCATTTTAGCATTTGAGACTGGACAGGTTGCCCCTATACGTGGAGATTATACGAGATTTATATTCTATAGTTTGTCCACTTCGCAATTCGCACTTAGGTAGGTAGGTACCTATATATATACCCTTTCAGCCTATAAATCAGAATCCCCAGCGATCAACCCACAGCTTCACCCACTCCGTATTCACCGGCTTGAGCGCTCTCGCCGTCGGACTCGCACGCAGGGTATTGTCAACACACCAGGTATAATCGTCTTCTCCTCCCTTATTACCCCCACGCCCATTCTTAGCGTCTCCATTTGTATTCCTCTTCACGCCGCCGCCGCCGTGGTGCGGTACAATCGACTTATAGAAATCCAGCAACTTGACTGCAGGGTTATCCTGCGCACTCGTCTTCCGCTCATAACTACTGCGCTCGAGAGCCTCGATCCAGGACTCGAGGGGTACGGTTTTATCCGCGATGCCTTTTTCCTTCAGCGCAGGGATAAGGTCGGAGAAAGGTACGGCGTGGGGGTTGACGAGGTTGTATACTTTGGCGCCCCTCTGCTTGTCTTTTCCAGAGGAAGTGCTGTCTTCCTCGTCGGTACGAGTTACTTCGTCAACAACTTCTAGAATAATCTTACTGAGCTCGTCTACTGGCACCCACTCAACACGGCTGCTTGTGCCGAGACTACGCGGCAGTACGCCCAGGAACTTGGAACTGCGCACCAAACTCGGGAACCACTCCCAGGGGTTCCAAGCACCCCCTGCCGCCACCGGGCCCGCGACCTGACCAACGCGCAGGACAGCGGCGCGTCTCTTATTTGCTGCACCTGATAGCGCCCACGCATCTAACAGTCGCTCCCCGACGTATTTCGACCGCGCGTAACCCTGTCGCAGAACAAGTTCCGCTGGCTCGGATAGAACTTCTTCCGGAACATCGCGGGCCGTACCCATAGCCGCCGAGATACTCGACACAAAAAGTACCGCCGGCCGCTGCGCGCCATTCTTCGCGAGTTCGAGTAGGTGTACTAGTCCTGCTATCGACGGCTCGAAGGACTGTAGTGGGAGAAGAAAGTTTACAGGCCAGGCGTTGTGGATTATGGCCGTAGTTTCAGCTTGGAGTAAATCGTAGTCTTTAGGTGTTAAGCCCAAGCGCGGTGCGCCAAAGTCCTTAACCGAGAAAAATACCACGCGGCCGTTCGACTCCTGAGCTGGTGGAAGTCCACGCGACTTCAGCGCCGTGGCTTGCTTGGATGCTGCATCTGCGGCCCGGTTCAGGCAGAATATACGGCGTACGCGGGACTCGGGCTGTGCTTGTAGCGCTGCGAGTAGATATGTCCCGAGAGATCCTGTGGATCCTGTTAAGATAATGGCCTGGGCGCGTGGGTGGCGAGAGGCTGGGAGGTACTTGGCCAGCATATCCGCAACGCCACCATCTGGGGTCTCCGCTTTGTCCTTGCCACTTCCATCGCCAAGGTATGCGGACAGTGTATGAGCGAGGAATCGCGCAGTCGTAGAGCTGTATAAAAGACTGATGTGGATGCCATGCAGGATGTCCTCAGATAGGCCGTAACTACGTAGTGCAGCCTTCAGCCGCGAAACAGTAAGGGTAACACCATTAGAGTCTAGCCCACGTGCGAAGACGTCGGTATCAGCATCGATATCGTGCGAGTCAAGCGCCTGCTGGAACAGCTGCGTGAGTACGGGCGTAAGCCCCTCCGGTGTGAGTGAAGTAATGGGGTCTAAGTCGCTGACCAGGATGCCGCTCTCAACGCGCTCGTATAGCGCATCGATCTCGTCTTCATACGCCTGCAATGTGAGCTGCCGCTGAATAGTGCCCTTGCCAGCACGCAAGAACGGCTTGCCCGGGCGAACGAACAAAACGAGCTCGCGAGGAATCTGTCCGAATTTTGGAGAGGACTTGTTAGCCTCCTGGATTGTAGGCCATAGTTTCTCAAGCACGGCTTGAGCCTCCTCGTCGGTTGTCGGAAGGAGGTGTTCGTACAACTCAACGAGCATGCATAGCCGGAAGCGGTGGGAGCCTCCCACGATAACACCGCGAACGTCCGGGTGTGCGGTCACGATGGCCTCGAAGTCGGTCGGGTCCATCTTGTACCCATTGGCCATAGCGACCCAGTTATCAGTGCGACCGCGGAAACGCCACCATCCGGGCTGGCCGGGGACCGGAGAGAAGAGGTCTTTCGTACGATATTCGTGCTCGAGATCTGGGTAGGAGCGGAAGTATGCATAGAGGCGGTCGATGGTCGGAGTACGGGGAAAGACGAGCTCGTACAGTCCAGGGAGGACCTCCTCCATGCGTTGACCGACCTCGACAAAGCGTATCGCGTCCCAGTTCTCCGAATTAGGCGAATAGTTCATTTGCATCAAGGCGCCCTCCGTGCTACCAATAAGACTATACAGGTGCGGTGTAATCTCAGCGACCCTGGCACCAAGTACAGGGTTAATAGGTCCGCCTACATAACCGACATGCTTAAGGCGCGAGAAAGCTTCGAGGCCGGGTGGGTAGTTTAGCATATTCTCAATAGGCACAGCCGGGCAAATGAGACTATTAGCGCCGGACTGGTTGATGACGTCTGTGATGCTGGCTGGGCTAATGGGAATGTCAGGATGCATGAGGATTGCTGTCATTTCGGAATGTAGCGCGACCATGGTGATGTACATGGCGCCAGCCTTTCTTAGTTAGAATATAGGTTTGTACCCTAAAGAATATACAAGATGGCTTACATGCGATTGTGACCCGACGACGAGAACATCGTGGTTAGCAAGCGTGCTACATGTCGGTCTCTCTACGTGGACACCCTCAGGGAAGACACCCTTCTCCAGGGGAGAGAATAGGCATTCGAGGTGAGAGTGTGTCCACCAGATTGGCTTCGGATGGCCTGTTTTATGCGAGAACATGTTAGTATTGTTGATAAGTATAGCTAAGTTGAACGAAAGAATTCACCTATTCTCACATATCAAAGCGGCCACAGAAAACAATGAGATAGAATTATACAAGGTAAATAAGAAGATACGAAAAAATAATAATAATTAAATTTGAAATAATGGTCTAACCTGAAGTTCCAGAAGTGTGTAAGCCCATGAACCTCTTAGTTTTGATCTCATCATAAGTCTTGTCGAAAGGGTAGTCGGGAACAGGTTCGGGGGATAGGATTTCCTCGAGAGATAGGCCTGGCCTAGCAGTAACATTTGGACTGGCCTTACTAACGAGTTCTGCAAGTGCCTCTGACGACTCAGGTCCGTATAACATATGCTTGGCTCCGACTGTTTCGAACAAGCGAAGATTGGCAGAGACTCGATTGCTTAGAGACGGGAACACCACGACTTTTCCAGTCTTCATGGCGGCTATAATCCATATCATATAGCGAGCGTCGCTCTGAGACATCCAAATGAAGTATTCGTCCGAAGGAAGGTGTTCGGTGAGGAACCAGGCAGCCCTATTGACGGCATTGTCGAGGATAGCAAATGTCACTTCAATAGGAGCACGATCCGGGTGACAAGTTTTGAGGAGAGGACGCTTTTGGTTTATCCTCCTCTTGACGACATTCGGTATCAACTCGTGGAAGCCTGCCATGGTTCGTAGAGTAAGCCAAATACTAGAGAGTAAAGGTAAGAGTATGGCTGTGGCTGCTTTGCTAAATGAAGCCGTCTCTTCCTGCCTCTAGGAAGATGGGACATTGTTACAGATATATCCTAGGAGGTACTTAGGTCAACAAAAAGCTCCATTCCTTTTAAGTCGAGGCGTGCAGTGGATGCCCTTTGTCCAAGGCGCCTGCCTGCCATTCTTTCACCTCGTCGCAGCTTTGAGGCAAGCGCAAAGTTCCTTCGGATACGTACCGGGGATACTAAGGTAGGAGCACACCTAATACACCCCTTATTTCCCAGTGGGTAGCATCCACGTGTATACCTATGTTTAGGAGGGCGTTATAGGCGACATGGCAGTGACGGCTCTATTGCAGGTACTTCCACCCATGTACTGGATTACCAGGGTAATTGAATGCCGAACGGCATCAGGGTAGCACTTACTACGACGGGACGGTCTGAATAAGCCAATCAGTCCCCGGATAGCATGCGGATAACTGAGATGGATCTATATATTCGATCGAAGTCAACGGGAATAAAGATGGGAATACTCGGGATATAACTCAATCTCGACGACACCATTGCGGCTTTGTGTAACGATCCATGGTATGCAAGTAGTGGAACTTGCTCAGTCGCATGAAGACCCATCATGAGCAATATAAAGATTATCACACCTACGCATACAGTCCAAAATACATTACACCCGTTGGTATTCCCGGTTCTTGGCATCACGATCATGGGCCATTCTCCCCTAAATGAGTATGCCGCTCTCTGCTGAGAGGTGGGTTGACTTGGAAGGACGGATGGATTTAGGTAAATGTTGCCTGATCAAGTTTCAACATTCGAATCAGTTTCATCCTTGAGGCGGAATGTTGAACATGTGAAGTTCGGGATTAAGATGATCATATCATTTGAAGCCTCTGGGCTTAGTCGTGGACCGTGCTGAAAGCTGAAAAAGGTCACGATATGAAGCTACGTCTGCTCCGTTCCCTCATGGTTAATATCCGTCTCAAGCAGCATCGGAGTTAGGCAACTTTTATAGAAATTTCAGTCAGCAAGCTACAGTGAACACTCCGGCATCGAGCGAAGGAACCCATTTCGCTCGTATCACCATAGTTGAGAAATGGATTAATAGGTGTCCACCCCTTGGGAAATAACGGGATCTTCATTCGGATTGAATCGGAGGTCCTGCAAGAAAAATCGTCACATTTTATACGATGCAAGAACGGATAACATCATCGAATTCTCGTAAGCATTGTCGTGGTGGTTTAGTTGTCTAGTCGAACCGAAGAGCCATTTGCTCATTTTCCTTCCACGCAAGCCTATACCAATGCCTCAAGGCAAATGCTCAACCCTGTTCCTAATAAAAAACCAACAACTCCATTTCCGCAGTCGCATTGACGATGCCTGACGAGAGATATCGTGGTAGGAAAGAAAGCCACATTCCGAAGGGCGTTTATCGGTGCTAGGTGGAGAGTTAGTCTCGTTGCCTACATCGTATCGTTGCCGGTTCATTCGTACCTTGACAAAGCCAATGTCGGAGGACTTCTCACGGAAGCACTGACGGCAGATGTTGAGGCCGTACTTGCGGATCAGACCGGCCTTGTGGGTGCAGACACGGCTACATTATGTTAGCTGATGGACTTCATCGAGATAGAAGTCCTCGAGAATATCAAGACATACCAGCCACGAGAGCCCTTGCCGTACGTTCGCGGGCGCGAGTTCCAGACGGATTCGTGAGACATATTGTCGGATGTGGTGTTGCGATAACGGTGATCACGAACGGTCGGTTTGCGGTATGTTGCTGGATGTCGAACTACGATTCGGAAAACTTTCGCGAGTTTTTGGAGGATTATGGATTGAGAGTGGAAAATTGTGTGTGGTTCGCGTAAGGGTTGCAGGGGTTGAATACTAGTAGGATTAGGTACGTACTCACACCTAAGACTTTGAATAATCTGTGCCCCACTATTGCCACACACGTGTCTTATCTATCTTATCGATAATCCCGCTCGACTTTTACCAGGTTCTGCATTAAGCTATGATGCAGCCGGTATTCACCCACACCCCGTTCTACCCGTTGCAAAGTGGCATCTTCTGCTTTGTATTTCAAAGCATTAATTGATGACCTACCACACTCTCATAATTGCGGTAGAATAACACTACTTGACCAACCTTACACCTCTTTCCCTCATACTGTTCTCAGTACTATATTTTCTCTTATACCTTACCTATATAATAGACGATTGTGAAACAAAGCAACAATGGTTCTAGTAAAGAGCTTCGTGCTCGCCGGGCTAGCTGCCGCCGTAGCAGCTAAATCTGCAGTCCTTGATCTCATCCCATCCAACTTTGACAAGGTCGTTCTCAAGTCTGGCAAGCCTACTCTTGTCGAGTTCTTTGCCCCCTGGTGCGGTCACTGCAAGAACCTTGCTCCCGTCTACGAAGAGTTAGCCCAGGCTTTCGCTACCAATAAGGATGTTCAGATTGCCAAGGTAGACGCCGATGCCGAGAGGTCCTTAGGCCAGAGGTACGGTGTCCAAGGGTTCCCTACTCTTAAGTGGTTCGATGGCAAGAGTGATAAGCCAACCAACTACGAGGGCGGCCGGGATCTCGAAAGTTTGACCAAATTCATCACCGACAAGACTGGCGTCAAGGCTAAGAAGAAGTTGGAGATGCCTAGCCAGGTCAACATATTGACAGACACCACATTCAAAGAGATCATTGGAAGCGATAAGGACGTGCTTGTTGCTTTCACTGCTCCTTGGTGCGGTCGTACGTATTACCCAATTATCCAGTATGATTTCTAAATATGCTGATTTTGAGCAGACTGCAAGGCCTTGGCTCCTACTTGGGAGACCCTAGCCGAGGACTTCATCAACGAGCCCAATGTTGTAGTCGCCAAAGTTGATGCTGAAGCCGACAATAGCAAGGCAACTGCTAGTGAGCAGGGTGTTTCTTCCTACCCGACTATCAAGTTCTTCCCCAAGGGCTCCACCGAAGGCGAACCCTACTCCGGCGGCCGAAGCGAGAAGGACCTCGTTAGCTTCCTTAACGAGAAGACCGGTACTCACCGTGTCCCCGGCGGTGGCCTCGATGCGACTGGAGGTACCATCGACGCCCTGAACCACATCGCATTGAAATATGCTGCTGGTAGCGACAAGTTGGCCGACCTAGCCGCAGAGGCCAAGAAGGTTGCCGCTGATCTGGCCGAGGATGCGCAGTACAAGTATGCGCAATACTACATCAGAGTATTTGACAAGCTATCGCAGAACGAGGGATACGTTGCGAAGGAGTCGGCTCGCCTGGATGGTATTATCAAGAAGGGCGGTCTAGCTCCTTCTAAGCTAGATGAGCTCCAGAGTAAGACCAACATCTTGAAGCAATTCATTAAGAAGGTCGAGGAGAAGGTCACAGGTGATGATGAGAAGGAAGAGCTATAGTATGACTCGTCATAAGCAAACCAAGTCGAGCGGACGTGTTGTAACGTTTATAACGAATAACGAAAGAAAGTGCGTAATCTGAAAGGCGCATTATTGTATAGAGTCTAGTTGCTGTACCGTCTGTCCTATACAAACCATGATGAACCAAACCGTTCCCCTAACGCCATGCGATGCTCCGAATAACCTCTAATTGTCCTTTACCCCTATCATGTCCTAGGTGATGAATTTGCGCCGTTCTCGTCGTTAGCTTGGAGTGAGGCTTCGAGGTGGTCCAATCGGCGCGCCATGTCGTCCACTATATCCGCGTCAATAACGAAACTATAGACAGCTATGCGACAATCTAAAGCGTCAAATAGAGGCCATGCTTACTTTTAGCGAAGATTTCGCTCGAGACACCGTCAAACTTGCTTGATAGGGAGTTTAATAGTTCCTCAACAACTGTGGTCAGTTCGTCCGAGCTCTGAGTCGCGTTAGCTTGGGGCTCTTGGTGGAGTATCGCAAGTAGATATTCTTACGTTGCCCGTCTGTTTCTTGGTATCCTCTGGCTTCTTAGACGACATGTTGAGGAATATAACTTGTTTATAAGCGTAGAGCTATTCAGACAGTTGTTTGGCGTTTACTTTTGCACGCAACGGAGTTCTGTTTGTTTAAATTACTTTGGTAGAAAGTTAATTGCGCGGCGCGTAGGGAGGTACCTAACACAGATTATACATAGATGGGTACAGGGTAACTAGTGGGGCTTATCGATTATGTATGTCATTTAGCGGCTTAATCACTAAGCCTCTACTGAAGCTCTCTACTTCGTAAATGTTAGGTAATCAAATCGGTCGTCTTAACTGTCAGCTATCATTCTTTCAAGGTATTCATCCTATACTCACCAGACTTTATAAAGCAAGAACCTAGTCTACTCTCTTCTAGAGATTCTCTATTGGGGATATCAGAGATTATACGAATGCTTTAAGCACGATGGAAACAATACATTGCGATGCCTCAGCCGCAAGATAACGCACGCGCCGTCTTCCTCATCATCTTGATATTCTGGCTTGCTACTAGTCCAGACTCGAGTCCAGGGCTCATCGCGGGCCCATCGGTCATAAAAAACCGCATCTTACGTCAGAGACACGCTCTCGGAGTATTGAATAGTACACAATGGGGTGACTTCTCACCGCGGCTTACCGACGACCCGCCCGAGACCGAAACCAAGTACTTGAACCTAACGGGGTTTCGAGAGGAGGACGGCTACGTGTGGGAGGATCTCCAGCGTTTCAAGAATCGGTGCGAGGAGTGGAGTACGAATGCCGTGGGAATTCCGGAGGTAGCACAACCAGTATGGCAAAATGCGACGGGAGTAGTACACGGCTGGTGGCGGAGGGCAAACACATCCTCGCCGAGATATCATTCGAGCTACAACCTCAGCCAGATTAGCCCAGATGTTACATGGGCCGCATCAAACTCCGACTGGAGCAGAAATGTAACTGGTGTAGAAGGGAAAATAATGATGCGTATCGAGGACAACGAAGATGACGCGACGGAACCAGCGGAAATAGACAAGACAACACTTGAGAAAGCAGAGGTCAAAGCCCGGGAGGTCTCGGCAACGGCTAATATCGACGATGTTGAAGGCACCGGGAGTAGCTGGGAGATGCGACTTCATGGTATTCACTGGCCACGTCAGGGCGCCATACTTCTTACTACGACAAGCGAAAAGTTCGCCGGCATTTTCGGATTGCCTCATCTTACAACTCGACCCGATTTCTTCGAATCTAGCCAGGCGCTCCTGAACAGGACCCTAGATGCGGCCCTCAGGAGAAAGGAGCAGCATACCTTTACTGAGCAAATCGATCCCTGGACGTCCAATTTAGAGCCGGGTGAAACTTGGAATCCATCTCCGCACTGCGAATACCTGATTTATATTCAAATCCACCCTTTAGATCAGAACATACTACAAGTACAGCCAAGTCTCACAGGCCCTGAAAATGTAGCTAAGGCTATACAAGATATCGAAAATGAGCTTCGTTTCCCCCAGGGCACAGGGCACCGGCGAATACCGCGGCTTCAAATGTCGGCTGTTGTGTATTCTCCTGATTGTGCCTTTTTCCTTGAAACAAAGGGTCCTCCGGCATATGCGCCGGCCGATGGAAACCACATGGTTGGCGTAAAGCAAGAAATCTTCCTTCGCAGCGTCAGCACGTTTCTTCTAAGTCTTGCGTTAATTGTGTTCGGTCAACTTCAACTGCTCAAGATGCAAATGAGGGAGACCTCTACGCCTTCAACGTTGGGTCGTGTTAGCTTCTACACTGGCTGTATGATGTTACTCGCTGATGGTATGCTCTTCACCGGGGCAGCCGCGTGGAGTTTCTCAGCATCGACTACGTTATTACCTTCTCTTGCTATTACATGTGTCTCATTTCTATCTATGACTGTTGGGACATTTTTCCTAGCTGAGATCCACAAGGTCCAAGAGCCTGAATGGCGACGACAAGAACGGGAGAGAGATCGACAGAACACGCCCGTAAATGCGGCAAATGTGGCAAATCCACCCAATCCATCTAACAACGCTCGCGAGACTACTACAACTACTACAAACACCACTCCTCGTCCACCATCTCCACCAATTATTATCCCTTCGGATCAAGATATTGACGCTGAAATTGCCGAAGTCACAACTAATACCACCAACAATGCCACCCTTCCAGCTCCAGTAACTGCAGGGCCTACCACACCAACCGCCCAGAATCTTCGGACACAGTTGAGCAATGTATTCGGCCGGCTCTTACTCATTGGGATTACGATCCTCTTCCTAAGTCTCGCCGCGGCAAGTTGGCGACCCAGCATCCGCGCCGCATACTTCAACATCGTGCTTTTCATCTACCTCTCCCTATGGATCCCACAGATCTATCGCAACGTATATCGCAACTGCCGTAGAGCGCTATCGTGGCGCTTCGTTATCGGCCAGTCGATTCTACGCCTATTGCCCATCGCGTATTTCTATATCGTACCAAACAACTTCGCTTTCGCGGAGCCCGACTGGACTGCTTTTATCGCGCTCGCCGGCTGGCTCTGGATCCAGATATGGATATTGGCCGCGCAGTCTGTCCTCGGGCCCCGCTTCGGTATACCCAAGGGCTGGATGCCGGAGGCTTGGGAGTACCACCCTGTGCTCCGTGAGGATAATGTCGAAGCGGGAGGACTGCCAATCGGTATAGTGGCTGCGCCCAGCAGCCCGCTAGAACGGGTAAGGACAAGCGAGGAGGGAACAAACAAGGATAAGAAACGCCCGAATATACATGTCATCGACTGCGCTATCTGTAGAGAAGTGCTAGAAGTGCCGGTTGTAAGAGCGGGAGACGACGATCCAACGGCAGGAGGTGTGGCGGGTGTGTTTGCCCGTCGCGCGTATATGGTCACACCATGTCGGCATGTCTTCCACAGCGCTTGCCTTGAGGGTTGGATGCGGTTTAGGCTGCAGTGCCCAATATGCAGGGAGGAGTTACCGCCTTTATAAGATAATTGATGTAGATGTATGTATATTTTAAGTTTATAGAAACCTCATATACAGTCGTCCCTACCTAAACGTAGGAGTACCCCCATTGAAATTAGCGAATTCTCGGATTAGGAAGTTGTACTCTCGACGCAACTTAAACTTGGTGTTTATAAGTACTTCGAATGTTACTGCATATCTGAGCAAATTCCAAATTCTATACAAATATTAAGAAGACAAAGACCTTATTCACTGTTAGAGAAGCTATAGTAACATTATTTGTTTCGCGCCGGTATATCGCATCTATCTCCTTTCAATGATCTCAAGCAAGGGGATTTGGGTTGGGTACCTACCTCCTAACCTAATGTTTTACCTCACATCTCCGGCAACTGCCTCTTTCCTCAGTTACCATCAGCCGGACATTGAAGAGGCAAGTGCCAGATACCGAACAACATATATTATTCAACAGCTACTAATAGAAGGCAGGCGCAGGCAACTAGGCTGCAACCCAAAACGGAGCAGATTCCATAATTAAGACTCAAGACTCTCAAGTTAAACTCTTTCAACTTTCGATAATCAATAACAACTTCGATAACAATATTAACGAACCATCATATTCAATTCGCAATATCTAAACTAAAAGACAATATAGCTCTAGAACAGGCTATCTTGAAGTCATTTGTATATCTCAACTTATAAACACAGCTCGACCAACCTATATCCGTGGAACAGCTGCGCGCTTTCTGCTCTACTGTTGCGTCCATCATGCGCCTCCATTAGGGTTATCGAGAAAATGGCACATCGTCCAAGTGTAACTAGGTCGTCACCCCAACCAGCCTAGGGTGCTCTTCTGCCTCAGGCGGTGTGAAGAGAGTCGTAACTTACGACTCGTAAGTAACCCTCTCTAGTATAGGATTTTAACCAAGATACGCGATTACTAATCCATAAGAGAAGAAGAAGAAAAGAAGCCAAATAAAACTGTATTACCAACCGTGTCTACATATGCTTCATCCAAACTTTACAATCTAAATTTACCAACATGGATCATCGGCTAGGCTACACACATTCTCAGCACGAGGAGACAGCATAAATCCTAGACAGTGATTTAAACTACGGACAGACTCGGTGATGGGGGCGCTGCTGATTCCGTCTGTCCGATAGCCTCTCAGCGACATCATGGCAAGACTGAGCAGAGATACCAAGCGACAGAGCTTGAAGTATCATGTCCAGTCTAGGTCAGCATATATATACCTGAGATGACCACGATGCATCAGCCAGATGCTACCGATATATGTTTGATCCTATCCGCCGTCACAAGGGCAATTTCGGCCATACACCAAGCACAGTGGCAAATTTGGAAAATGGGAAAAACAGGGAGATTCATCCCCGCAACGTACCCGAACTTGACAAGTTCTACACCTAGCGCCTTATTCCTTCTACAACAAACTAAACCGAGCGAATTGGGTAAAATACATGCCTGATCCCCGATCAAGAGACTTTTTAGTAACTTCGGAGGGATAGCACCTAAATAGGGGGAAAGCTTACTCTACATTTTCACAGATCATCGCGCCATACTGGGAATGATAAAGTACAGTGATCTTGTGAATTCCACCGCCATGAGTAATAAGAACCTTCGTCTTGTCCGTGCAATGGAATACATCAGCAGATTTTACACATGTCTCACGAACAGCTACCGTATACTGTCAGGGTATAAGTGGGTAGGGGTAGCTAACAGGGGTCCATCTACTATATAAGAGGCGCGCAGCGCCCTCGTAAGAGGATAGAAGGCCAGGCGTTACCAAATCAATACTATCTATTACTTGGTCTACCTACCCTAGACATTCACTCTGTGTATGACATCGGACCTCTCAATAAATGCGTCTTACCAGACGTATACCCCATACCACGACAAGAGGAGATCGTGAACAAAATGAAAGGCCGACGATACTTCACAGTCGTGGACGGATCCGCATTTTTTCACCAACTTCCCATGACAGAACGACATAAGAACCGAATGACGATTATATCGCCAAGAGGACTTGAAGTCAACGGGTATAAATCCTGACATATACAGCCGATTGTATTCTCGTCGAGAACATTGTCAACAGCCGAACAACGATATTGGTCCACAGATAGAAATCGTTGGCTTTGTCTGGACGATGAAGACTCGTCATTACAAGTTAGATAGGGCTATTTTGTTAGGGATAAATGCAAGGCTATCAACTA